TGTGTGTGTGTGTGTGTGTGTGTGTGTGTGTGTGTAGTGCTGGGGATTGAACACAGGGCCTTCTGCATGTGCAGCAAGCATTCTAACAAATGAGCTATATCCCGAGCCTGGATGACTGCAATTTGAGAAAAGACAAAAATTACAGCAATCATATTGTCAACTTATTCATTTACAAAAAACACATTACTCGGGAGAAAAATCAAAAAGATTTCAACTCTGTCTCATGATGAAAACTCCAAAGAAAACTCCAAAGCCAACTCCAAAGCCCTGCACATCTAGGGACACAGATGTGCCACAGGGAGCTAATGTTCCGCCAGAGCATCTGTGCTCACCCACTGAGACCACATTCCTGAAGTTCTCCAGCATCACATCTTGGTACAGCTTCCTCTGGGCAGAGTCCAGCAGCCTCAGTTCCTCCTCAGTGAAGACMACAGCCACGTCCTTGAATGTCACCACCTCCTAAAACATCAAACAGACTCYACCTAAATGCTGTGGCAAAAATCCACTGCAAGAAGGGTAACACTGAGAAAAGTAGAAAAGATGTGTTGCAGTTCTAGATTCTAAGAGACCAGAGTCAACTTTACCATAATATATGTTAAAGATTTCTTTCTTGTCATAATAAATRCTGAAAAGAACAACTTTTTTGTAAATATTAGTCCATCTAATTATTAGAAGTGAAAATTACAATATCAGTGAATATGCAACTTCAAAATTTGATGTACAGTGACAGGTTTCAAATTTTCCGATTTTATCCTTCCCCCAAAGAATATACATATTTATCTAAATTATCATAGACAACATTGACTTTTTTTTWAATTCTAGGTAATCTAGTTAGTAAAAAAAAAAAAAAAACATGTTTTGGTTACTTGCACTTATTTGATGATTAATATCAGATCCTATTTTCATGTATTTACTGGCCTTTTTTATTTTTTCTTTGGTACCTTGCTTATTATTATCCTTTTTCTTATATCCCATTTAGAGTTTTACCTTATGTCTCTGTTAAATTTCTATTAAATATTTTAAACTTTTGTTTTGGGTATATGTATGTATGTGGACATATTAGACATTTCCACCCATATTTTGCTATTATTCTTATATAGCTTTGTGTAACGGCAGTATTTTGCAACTTTAGCACAACTGATATTTTGGGCCAGACACCTCTTGGCTATGGGGGGCTGTCTGGTGCACTATAAGGTGTTTAGCAGCATCCCTAGATTTTATCCACTAGCACCCTCAACTGTGACAAAACTGTTTCAAGATGTTGCCTAGGAAATAGAATTACTCATGATTAAGAATTTTTTTGATAAGAATTAAACACTGTTTTAACTTTTCATCTGAACACTGTTTATCCCCAGAGTTCTGCCTGAATGTGCAGAACTATGAATTATGTCAATAACATTGACAATGGGTCACTGAAGCATGAACTGAGAAGGGCAGTATGATCTGTAGTATCTTCAACCCACCAGGACAACTTTGGCACCCACAAAGAAAGGCCTAAGTGTTGGGAGCTGCTCTGGAAATACACACCCTTAAGCCCTGAACAAGAGATAYTGAACAATTATTGTGCCCCACATTAACATTTACCTCCGATCAGATAATGAGGCATGGCTCCAGGAGTAGGCGTCACCCAGTGGGGTTGAGTTACACTCACCTGTTCCCTTGTAATCCYAYCCCTTGCCTCATTTGAATGGCTTCTCCCCAATAAAACCAGGTTCAAGGCATGGTCTTTCTCTTTCTTGCCTGCCTTGCCTCCTTTGCAGGACCTGGGTCAGAGGAGCCATCACAGAACCCAAAGAAAAAGGTATTTCTCTGTCTCTGTGTGATTATTTCATGCCAGCCCAGTTCACCAGGAATGACCCTGACTGGTTTAGTTCTGTGTCCCAGCACCTAAATCCTTTACACAGAGAATTCTTTTCCCTTCCCCACTCTCTTATCCAAGTAAAAACTTTAGGAGACTTTCTGAATCAGTTGAATCTTCAGTCTCCAGTGTGAATTTTAGCAGTTTTCTGAAATTCAATAATCCTGATTCTTAGCATTGCACATGAAACCAAGCACTACTTTYTAAGGTTGGTTTGAGATCTAAATGCAATAAAAGTACCTAGCAAGTCTTCTTGTATTATAGCTTTAAAAATTAAATACATTATTACTTCAATAAAATAAATTAATGTAATGGATTTTAAAAATGTAGATCAGGAAGTAAACAMATCTGCAGTGTAACTCCAGCATGGGTAAAAGATATCTAGCTTTATTGTGTGGATCTTTGATTGGTTAGATCATGTTACATCATGCTGTATTTTTATAGTCTATATGCAAAGTACCACATATCAAAAGTGCTTTTTCAATTTAGTGTTCCTCAAATATTAGAAAAAAAAATAATAACAAAACTCCTTCAAATTCCTTTTTGGGGAAAGGCTTATGATCTAGGAAAACTGTACTAYACTGTTCCTTAACATAACTGTAAAAATTCTAAACTTCTTAAATGTCCATGAACA